GAGTTAGCCTCCATTGTCTCTTCAAGTCCAACACTTTCCCACACTTCCATGTGACAGTGAGGGGGTTTCCAGGGGCTACCCAAGAGGTTTTCTCTAGGGGTAAACTTTTCTGTTTAGAAATGGTGTTTGAAAATCACCTGGTTGTGTTACATTAGGCAAATCATGTTTTAAAAAGTAGACCCGCTAAGACACCAAATTAAGGTAAAGATCTTGGAGTTAGTCCACCTGTAAAAAGAAAATGTCCAAATCTTGCCAGGTTGTTGTTGATTTTGAATTGCAGACGTCCCCCTTCCTTTGTGTCACAAGCCACTCATTCCCCTTAATGAAAACAAGAGGGAGTGATTATACCTCCTGGGGCTGTGCCATTTATGCCGTCTGAAAGGCCCTTAAACGAGTGGCACATTATCTCACACATCTGGAGTTTACCAAATTAGCCAATTATGCTGGAGCTCATAAAACGAGGCCTTAAATGTCATTTAACTAGAAAATATTATAATCACCAAGTGGTCTGATTGTAAGATGATACTTGGGGCAGCATCAGCGGTTACAGAAAACAAATCGTGAAGCAAAACACAGTTCAAATACCCCCCAAACGCAACCACATATTTTCTACAGTAATACTTTCTGAAGAATACCATATTTCTGAAGGCACCAGCAATCAACATGTTTCTCATTTGAAACTAAGTTTAATCCGACCTAGTTGTTTCCTAGTTATTTGCCTTGGGCAAACCAACGTGCATGAATTTTTCTCAGAAGAAAACTGAGGAACATGCAGGATGAGAGCCGACGGGAAACCATGAACTTATCAGATATGGATCCGTCTGTAAGGGATGGGACAATAACTGGATTAAGAGTCTTGAGTTATCAGAGGTTTGTGGTGCTGTCTCTGAACTGACAAGATTCAGTTCACTGAGCATATATGGTCTCTCAGAGTTTTTGTACTTTACCTGAAGGAAGAGAGAAAAGCTGCTTTAAATTGCCACGTGATTTTGGGGGTAGGAATACGGAAAGTTGTAGAAGAGTTACTTAAAAATTAGGGGTTTATAGCCACTCATTTCACATTGCCTTCTTTTCATTTAATAAATAACAAAATTTGGTGTTTAGTAAAAGGTGATGTAAGACAATGGAAAAACCATGACATGCTGCTAGTATCTGTGTGACTTTGGGCAAGTTATTTAACTTCTCTGATCTTCAGGCACCTCATACAAAATACAGACATAATGCTGTCTTGTGTTGACAATAGTGCTGTGTTCAATATAAGGTTTGAAAAGTCCCTAGCATCATGTCTGTTACACTGAAGAAACAAATATCAGTTTCACGTCTTTCTTTACCTATGTCACCAGGATTTCTTAAGTTCTGTTTTAATTCTTTTTCCTCTTTATTTCAGGAAGAATGGCCACTAGGAGCTTACAGAAGAGGAAGAGGGAGAGACAGGCAACCCTGGTTTTACATTAGCATAATTTATAATCCTCTCCCCCATCTGTGCACATCTCAATCACTCTCTTTAAAGGAATGACAGGTACAAAAGAGACTAGAAAAGCTTTCAGGAGATACCCTGAAGCAGAAGGAAGTAAGATGTGATGCAGGAACACACGGTAAATGGAGACACCAGCTGCTGTTTGCCAGGAGAATTTATAAAACAAAACTAATTGGTTTTAAAGGTGCCTCATCAGCTAGGCTAACTATGTCTTCCGGGCTCACTATTTCAGTAGATGGACCTATGAGTTTATTTTTGCCAAACCTGAAAAAGAAGAAGAATCATGGTGACGATGGAGGTACTCTCAACAGTGACAAAGTTCTTCCCCGTGAGTTCTTTCGTCTCCATTAGCTAAAACAATGATAGCCTCTTTGGTAAAAGCCAACTAAGTGTGATGATTCCATATAGTAGAAGTTCTTGCCCAGAATTTAGAAGGCCTTTTTTTGGGTAAAGCTGGGTTGAAAAAACCATGTGTTTCATTAAAGTACAATATATCTATGTTTTTAGTTCTTAAAAGAATCTTAGAAATGGTAAAGGGATTTGGACCCATGTATTTGAGCCAATGTCTCTTGGAAACATGAATTCTGGGCAGAGAAATAGGGAGCTTCATCTCTAAGAATGGTGATGAGTATCACTTCACTTTCTCACAGCAGAGAGGAAAATGGGAGATCTGTGCAGACATCAAGTATATTATCAGACTTTAATGTTCTTAAATAACAGAAAAGGAATAGCTTTCAAAACCTTTAACTTGGAGGATATAGGAAAAACGACGAGAGATGAACTGTCTCACCTATGTTAATAGTCAAATTGACTTGTGTTGTATCTCTACAGCCACACACCGAATGGGGCTGTAGGCACCTGAGTGAGAAAAACACCTTTGAAAGCAGAGTGTACTCTAAAAGCTAAAGAAGAAAATCAAAAGGAACTGCTTTCACTAGGAAAAAAAAATCAACACAACATGCATTACAAGGTCTTCTTTTCTTTTTTTAACTTAACTCTATGAAATGTTCTAGCTTGGTATCAAAAATAACAGGCAGCTTTTTCTTTTGTGTTTAACAAATATTCACATCTCTAAGATGAGAGGTCTCTGGCTTTTGGCTAATAACATGCCTAGATCTAAAGGCATTACAGAAAGTATGTCAATTTGCTCTAGAAACAATTATACATACAGTCTAGGAAAAGGCCAATTTTACTATGCAAGGACCACACATGCTGTATGTTTGTTGTATTACTTGATATCAAAGCAGAAACATCAAATTCTTCCTAACACACATGAAATAAAGAGCCTGGCTAAGGAACTCCCACATCTAATTCAGAGATATCGGTTACAGCTTACAGAACTTGGCAATGCTATTACTACTCTTTAACTGGGAAGGGACACTGCTATTGACTATATAATACACTATGATTTGTTTAACTTTATGTATATTTTGGGTAAACTGAGCATGAGTTTGATCCCAACTGTCATAAACGCACGTATATTACCAATGCACAGCACTTAGCTACCACATCACCACAGTAATAATAGCAAGAATTTGCTGCTTCTTTGTCACTAGATCTTCTAAAGATATTTAATCAGGTATCGAGATCTTATCATAACTTCAGAAGGGGTAGTCAATAGCAAGAATTATCATCTCTGTTTCATTTTGCATCATTACGATTTTGATGTGATGACATTTATTCATTTAACATGCACTTACTATCTCTACTCAGTGCTAAACACAGGCACAGGGGATACAAAGCTAAATGAGAAATTGCCCTTAGGGCGAGAGAAAGGAGATAGACAGAAAACAGCCATAATAAATTAGACAGGTGCATGCTATATTTTGTATAGCATATAAAAGTGATTGATAAAGAAAGCGTGTGGTAGAGAAAAGATGGTCAGAGGGGGAGAAATGTGAGGGCACTCTTGAATGAGGAGGGATAGTTTCTTGTGTGGATGAGGGGGTTGGTCCTGCAGGAATAAGATAAAGACTAGCATGCAAAGCTATGAGAATGTGAGCAGGCTGGCTGTTTTTAGAGCAGATCTGTGAATGGGGAACGAGCCTGGAGAAAAGGAGGGCCATACTAGGCTATGCTAGGGCCATACTAGGAAGGGCTCTGTACCATGATAAGTTTAGACTTTATACTGCAGGGCATATTTTTATATATTAAACAAATACTCCAAAATTAAAATAATTAAAACAGTATAATGCTGGCAGAGAGATAAACTGATGAAACAGAATAAGAAATGGAGAAAGAGAATAGAAAATTTAGATGATGTATACGTGGACGTTTAATACACAAAAAAGTTAGCATTTCCAACGAGGGAGTAACAGATGGATTTTTCAACACGTGGTGTTTGGACAACTGACTAGCCATTTGAAAATAAAATTTAATTCCTATATGCCACACAGCATATTAAAAAAACAATTCTCACACGGATTAATGACTTAAATGTCAAACATACCAGAAGAAAATGTTTATAAACTTGGGGCTAAAATATCCTTTTTTCTAATGTGACAATAGGGTCAGATATCACAAAGAATAAGATAGATATAATCACAAAACCACAATCTTCAAAAATCGCCAAGTTCTGAAAGGTGTAAGACATTGTAGCTCTAAGGCAAATGGCAAGCTGGGGAAAATATTTGCAATCTATGTCATTGTTAAAGAATTAGTACCTATAATATATACGGAGCCCCTACCAATCAATAAAAACTCTAACTTAAGAGAAATGGGCAAGAATATAAATAAGCAATTCATAAAAGAAATGACATTTAATGGTATAAAAGCATGCTCAATCCCAGTTATAATCAAAAGAATGCTTATAGACAATTTATTTTTCACCTATTAGATTCTTTTTTTAAAGTTTACTTATTTATTTTGTGAGAGAGAGAGAGGAAGTGGGAGAGGGGCAGAGAGAGAGAGAGGGAGATATTGAGAGAGAGAGAAGCTCAAGCAGGCTCCACACTGTCAATGCAGAGTCCAACATGGGGCTTGAACCCTCAAACTGTGAGATCATGACCTGAGACGAAATCAAGAGTCGGACGCTGAACTGACTGAGCCACCCAGGCATCTATGTAAAAAAATACTCTTTATCTGATCATCTAGTAGACAGGATAACAAATGTGACACATCAACTTTTGACACAGTTCTGTTTTGATTGAATATTCATAAGCTGCAATGCAAATAAGGAACACATTTGGGCACTATATTCAAGAATCAAAAAAAGAACTATTACATTTAGATAGCTGCTGTTATGAGAACTTGAAAAAAATCTTAATGGCACAAAATAGAAATTGTCTTCCAGTCAGCAAATTGAATATTAATATCATTTTCGTGGTAGTTCTTATGGTATACATATTTAGTTTTCAATTGTATTATCAGGAAAAACTAAAAAAAAAAATGTGGGAAGGCACCCTTTTAAATATTTTCCCTTAATAACACTAGGAAAATGAAACATTAAAAATGAAAAAAACAGGTAGTAATATGTTAAATGTCTATATCAACATGAAGTCCATACATGAAGAACTGTACTTACCCTTCTATTCGGAAAATTGTTCGAAAACTGTCTCCCAAGCTTTTATAACTGTTTGGATCAGTTGCACATCTCTGAATCTGGAACCTAGAAACAAAATCAAACAAAAAATCGAAGTTAAGGAATTGCCAGATGACTTCCCTCATTTTTCAAAGTCTTAGGAAACTCAGCCTTTTCAGGTTAATCTAAAATATTCTGGTTTTTGCTATCGACTTTATTGATTTATTTGCCTCATATAATCCTTACCTTATTTTTGTAGCCTTTAAAATTCTATTTCTCTGTATTTTAATAGAAACTATAGAGTTTTTTTTTCATCTGTTTCTTAGCCAGGCAGATGCACCCTGAGGCATTTATGCCTTTTTCTTTTGTGAAAAGCATACACAGATGTCATAGATTGTTTAATGTATAATTCAGAAATCTGAAGGTGCATATATGAAATAAATAAGTAGCTGTATTTCTTATCTTAATTAGTACCCCTTGATGGGAATTTAATAAAAAGTTTAAATACAGAGCCGCTAATATGGCCTAACTTGGATCCTGATTGTGAATTTGAAATTCATTCTGGCAGACAGGAACCTGTGCTTAGGGGAAGAGAATGAATTTGTATTGTGATACAGTTTACAATCACTAATTCTACTTCATGATGGAGCAGAGTTGGTCTTTACTTTCAGGCTACCTGAACCCTTCATATATGGTCTGTATATAGTTGGTGCTCGATAAAAATGTATTCCATTTTAGAAAGCTAAATTCTGTTTTTTTCTTCTTTTTGGTTATGATCATGCATCTCAGGACTCTAAACTTCAACCTGTGGAAGTTTCCCAGTGTCAGGGTCTTAACTTATTTATTTTGTATGCTACTCTGGGGTTTGTTTTTAAAGAGATTTATGACAAGTACTCTCATTTCTCTATACCCCAGTTCTCCATTTTTGAGTTTCTTTAGTCTGCTCTCACCTGGTGTTTACCTTCCTTGTCCCAATTCTTAGTTAAGGCCTTTCTGCTCTTCCTTCCATAATTTTATCAAAAAATTTTAAAAGAAATTTTCAAAAACACATCTTATATTATCTACTTTGAGATACTTTTCTGAGATTGTTGGATTTATGATTCTACCTCTAAGAATAATGTATTTTATGGCTCTAGGCCACAGGGAATTATGCTGAAAACGGATACATATATCACAGAAAAGAGTTAATATTTCACTTTGATTGAAACAGCTGGGCATAGGAAAGGAATGAGTCTATTATAAGACTGGAAAGTGAGGCTAGATTACATTTGATTTGGAGAGCGGAGAGTTGCTGAATATAATCGTGCGGGAGGGTAGCCATTCTGAGATGGAGGAAGTTGAGTAGTCCAGTAGAGTTCTCCCAGCAGACCACATACAAATAACTACAAAAATATTTACTGCCTGATTGGGTGGATTGGAATGGCAGTATGGAGGGCAGAACAACCATGAAGGCAACAGGATGATCTAAGTGAAGATAATAATGCCAGAATATGAATGGAGGCAACAGAAATGTAAAGAAAGGGGTAAGCTTGTTGAGTAATCCTTTTTCTCTTTAAATAAATGTGTGTGTGTGTGTTTTATGATACATTCAACATGACTCCTTCTTGATCCTCTTCAACACATAAAGCGATATTCTACTATTGCCAAAATTAAACAATGTCCTTAATATTCACGATGGTTTTGTTTGTCAAATTTACACCTCTATTAACGTGATCATTTTTAGAAGGTTAAATTTTTTAATTCTTAATTTTTAAAAAATTTTTTATTTTTGAGAGAGAGAGAGAATGTGTGTGTGAGCAAGGGAGAGAATCTTAAGCAGGCTCCCTGTGAACCCATGACCTTGGGATCACGACCTGAGCCAAAATCAAGAGTAGGACGCTCAACCGACTGAGCCATCCAGGCACCCCAAGAAGGTTCATTTTTAGACAAGAATTATATCTCTAAAATTTGAATTGTATTGAGCTCATCAGAAGCTCGTGGATCAATACAGCCAACTCATTTAAACTATTCTGGGTCTAGAGGTACATTTGGTGTGTGCATAACCACTGATCCAGAATGTTCAGTAAGTGGTTCTGTCTATAATAAAAAACATGATTTGATGGTCATGTAGGTGGACCATGTTTGATATTTCTGGACTACTGCACATAGATGAGATAACTTGGTACTCTGGATACAAATGAATTAAACCTAAACACAAAATAGTACAATAAGAAAAATATATGTACACTCACACAACAAATAACTTTGCATAAAATTTGTTTATACTACAAATACAAATAACATAGAGAGTGATTTCCAAAACACGATGCCGATTCTAGTGTGAAAAAGAATCTCCATCTCTCCATTTGCATATTTGTAACTTACATTCATGGCTGAGTATGAAACATTTTCTTATGTCCTAGTTGGGAAAGCCAAGATTCTTCTCTAACTGTTCTTTAAAGAAAATAATTTAAAATAGTTTTATATATTATAATACTATTACATGTTCATAGATTTTTCTCATACTATCTGTAATAATTTTCATTAAATTCATTTACCTCTATCAAATTCCCTTCTAGATGCTTTTCCCCCCAAATTACCAAGTATTTTTTAAAATAATTGTCATATGAAATAAGATCTACAAGTTTTATAAAAACTCAGGGCATTATCCTCACTGTAAAGGGCATAATAAATAAATGAATGAGAAAAATGACTTATAAGGTGAAGAAAAATATCCACAATGTCAAATAGCACTGCACCAAACTGCCCAGGTGTTCATCAGAGGGAGAAAGTACTGCTTTCTGCAGAGGGCAGGAAGGATTTCAGGAAGGAAAAGGGATTTGAGCTGGTCCTATAGGATTCAGAGGCAAAAAGAGTAAGCATGAGAAAGCATTCCAGGTGGGGAAATGAAACAAAGGCCAATGAGGGAAAGTTGTCCTTTTAAGAGAAGTGAAGGAAGAGATCCCCCACCATGGCAACCTTCCACGTTTCCTTCAGGACAGGTGGTACAGGACTCTGCTGGGGCATTCAGTTGCTCAGGGTGGGTGGCGACCTGAGTGTGTTGGGGGAGGAAATTTATGAGATAAAGTCAAAGCCCAGTATAGACCATTTGACCTCTTCCTGCTCCTCAGCTGAGTACTTCAGTTAACTCTGCATGGCCATCTCACAGTTATGTGACCCCGGTTCTAGAAGGGACTATAAATGAGTCAGCAGAGGGACCAAAGCAAGTGCATACTAATGACCTTAGCCCCTCTTTCACTGCTGGAGTTAGAGACATCAGCTTTGTCTACGATGTCTGTGTGCTTGGGTAACATCGAAGAAGATCTTCTGTCAGCTTACACCAAGATGAATCCAGAGTGTTGCTATTTCATAATTAACTAGTTATCTAACTTTGCTCTAGGAAATCTAGGCACTTTACTTGCTAGCTGTAACTTCTTCCTTTTCATAGAATCTGAATAGATAATATTTCTTCATAGATAATATTTCTAATCTGCCATTCATGCAGTTAATTAGAGTTTTTGAACACTTCGCATGTATTAGTATTCCACTATTTGGGGCATTATACAGAAATAAGACACAATCCTTCCCTTTAGAAGCTTATACTTAGGTGAAGGAGCTGTGCAAACATATGATTACAATATGCAAGTAATAACAGTATTTTGGGATATCCAATGTCAGCAAAGGAGTTTTACTGGCATTGAATAAATACTACTACTCTTTTTGGAGGTGATCTCCTGTCTATAGGTGGACTCTAGCTGACAGAAAATAGCACTATGTAGAGACATTGGAGAGAAGAGGGAAAATGGGAAGGCTATCTTTGGGCTAAATATCTGTGATTAAATTTTCCCCACCCAGTTTAGAACAGGCAACAAGAACAGTTAGTGGAATCTGTAAGGAGTGTTCCACTTAGAAGCTGACTGGTGAGTGACGCTGTGTTAATTACAAACAGGAGTGGTGACATCAAAATAACATTACATGAGAAGGGTCCACAAGGAGTGTTGTAAGGCAGTGCAAAAGGATGAGCAGGTATGGTAAATACGAATTCCTCAGTAAAGCCACCGCCATTCTTTACTATGCTAAAGGAGCTGGAGTCCCATTAAACAGGCAAGCACAGCTGTCTCTTTTGCTGCACATCTCAAATACGGCGTGTCTACACTTTGCAGAGAAAGTGCATGCAGTATTTAGTTCTACTACACATGGCTTATTCGGATCACAGAGTTATCAGTTCTTCTAAGGAATCTGTTTCAAGTTGATACAATTATCGTGCATTTTGGTCAATCATGGAAAACAGCAATTTCCTTCTTCCCCTTTACTGTGTTTCAGCAACTTAAAAGGTTGCTCTCTTGGATTGAAACTTTACGTCAGCATTATTCCAAACTGCATGCTGTTCTAACAAATTCTCTCTATGCCCGGGGAGACAATTTTCCAGTTACATAATACAACTCTTTGTAAAATTACAAAGGCCAAGCCACACTACCCTTGATTGTATTTAGAAGAAAAGGTTGGACCTTTCCATTGTCCTAATAAAAGCAGCTTGGACACATCTGGAATCTCCATCTGAGAAACTTCTCTTATTAGAATGAAAACTTGCTGCCAAACCGGCAAATTGGACAGTGGAGGAACACTTGAGAAGTATTCAGTGCCTAACATCCAGTCAGGATGAAACACACAGAAAGGCATGTGGCGCAAACCCTACGTATGCCTCATTGTCCAGGAGCCAGCAATCCTATCTGCTGTGGTGCCAGGGAGCACAGTACTTCATAGTCCTACAAATGGAGGGAACAGCCCTGTCATCGACCATGCCATAAACATGAAGCGGGTTTCTGTGGTAACCACCAGCGCAAGGAAGGGCGGCTCAACATTCGAAAACAAATGTACAACATATTTTTAAAAGCTGGAGAATGTTCTCACTCACTAAAATATTTATTTTTCTCTAAACTGGAGAACCATTACTGCAGGATTTCCCACTGGCTTAGTTGTGTGCTTAGCCAGTGATACCAAATTTCAAACTAGCCTGTTGTTGATTCTTAGCACAGTGAGAAATGCCAGTTTAGGCACTCGGCTTGTCTGAGCTCTTCTTAAGTTGTGGCCATAAAAAAGATATGTCT